TCCAGGAAGAGTCCTGGTGAGTTCTAATTTCTTCAGTTTATGGATGATGGAGGCCACTGCGTTCACTGGGACCTTCAGTGCAGTAGAAACTTTTCTGTACCCTTCCCTAGATCTGTGCCTTGATATAATTCCTTGGACTTCACGGCTTGGTTTGTACTGTGACATGATCAGTCAGCTATGGGACCTTATATAAACAGGTGTGTGCCTTTCCAAATCATGTTCAATCAACTGGATTTACCACAGGTGGAGTCGAGTCAAGTTTTAGAAAAGTCTAGCAGATGATCAGTGGAAACAGATCAACTGAACACACCTGAACTAGCGTTTGAGTGTCCTGGCAACAGCAATGCTTTATTTCTGTATAATATAGCATGTACCCTGACTGATCTGTGACCATGCAGTCCCATACATAACAAACTGAGACACAGTTTTGTTTTGTTTTTTGATGCATTTACAAGAATTTCAAGCAAACTTTTTTCATTTAGTCACTACAGGGTTGTGTGTAGAATTTTGAGGTAAAAATGAATTTAATCCATCTTGAATCAGGCTGCAACGTGACAATATGTGGAACAATTAAGGCACTGTGGATACTTTCTGTTTAACAGCAGCAATTTTAACCCTCACAGGTGCAATATGGTGGAGAAAACCCCGAGGAGGTTAGTGTTAAAATGATGGAGCCGGTCATCCACAGACTCTGCTGTTATATTGGATATCATAGCAATGGCCTCCATAAATACAGTACTAGCGTGTTCATTGAAATGCCTCTTTTTGATAGTTTTCCGTCTGGCTCTGGTGACTGAGGTGATCAGCCCATCAAAGAAAACACAAAAATGATTAGACAGGGCGTCATTCACCACAACATTAATAAAAGTAATACTAAGGTCATCACCATGAAATTATCATAACTGAATCAAAAGTACGTTTTTCCAAAAACCTGTCCACCAACGAAACCAAAAAAAAGTTTTCCCTGAAGGACACCTCCAACAGTCCAGGTTTGATTTACAGTCATTGTCTTAAAGATCAAAGAGATGACACCACATTATTGTATTTTTCCTCAGATTACCAAAATGATGCAGGAACAAAAATCTTATAGGTTCTCCCACTAATTAATCTAATACTCTCAGATTTTAATACTTAAAATAGGTAATGTTTTAAAAGAAAAGAAAAGAAAGGGAAAAAAGGGAGAGAAAAGAATAACAAACAATAAAAGTGTGGTTTTAGTGTACTGTAAAAGAGGCCAGTCTGTACTCAAATAGAAATCATATGATGCCATTTATATTTACTGCCTGAAATGTCCACCATTGACAGCAGATCGTTTCTGTTGAAGTTTCTGTGGATGTTATTCCACCTTACATCCAACAGAGGGAGCCACTGTGCTCTGTTTGAGAATTGTCCACCGAATCACCAGGTATGTGCTATCATATGCTTGGACAACTAAATGCTGGAGGTGTGTGATTGTGACGAAGTAGCTGCAGACGACTGCGCTGCAGTCAGATTACCCTATTTTATTTTTAGGTACAGGCAGTAAATAAAAACACATGTCTTTATCTTTCTTATATTTCTTATATATCTAAAAAACAATCCTGATTTACCATCAAAAGAAAAAAAACGGATTTTGAACTGCAGTAATTATGATTGCTTTGTGGATTTGATTGAGCAACATGCTCTCTTTGTTCACCAGAGGCACTGAATATTTGAATGGAAGAAATTTTTCACAAGTCATAGCAGGAAGAACGGGACTAATTATGAAGATTAATTATGGCTTCACTTCCAAACTTTCTCAGAACTGTGGCTTACAGAGCATGAAAGTGATCGTTGCGCACAAACAGACATATTCAGCCTTGAAAACATGGCAGCGAACTCACGTTATAAGTAGCAAACCCATAGTTGGATACCACGGGGTTGCAAATGTCAGTTTTTTGCCACCACGAAACTCTCATTAAAGAAAGTTAGTTGGTATGAATGTGTTTGTTTTATCATCTGAAAGTTGTTCGTGTGGGATGAAAATTTTAGAATTAGGGCTATCTGGTGTTTCCAGAAGTGTTTTCAATATTGAACTTTAACTTTCCTAAATTGATATTAGGAAGATTTTTTGCACATTCATGAAAAATCACAATAAATCAAGATCAACACAGTGTCAACAGCAGTAAACCAAACCAACACTGTTAGACTTGCACTAGCCCGTTTTCCTGTAAACCTGGTTCTGCCTGATTAACCAGCTCAGCTGACACTTAGGCAAAGACAGAATATTGGATTTAATTTATCCACTATTTTTCTAAGAAATGAGACTACGCACTATTCATTTGCCCTGCTACACATTCATTCAGTCTTACAGATACCTGGAAGCTCTCCTGGAAAACTGGTCTCCCTTTGACTACTTTGTACTTCAAAAGTACAACAATGGTTTAGCAGATGGAGTCAAATTTAGATGCAACCTAACATTTGGACCTGTGGTGACATCTATGGTGGAGTTGTTTAAATTGCAGATAAGAATCGACAGCTTGAAACATTCTGCGAAGCGATAAACTCAAAGAAAGGGCAGACGCTGTGTGGGCATGGGCTGTAATGTATGCAGTCGCTACAAAAACATGTGAAAACAGGGCAAGGCACAAGAATCAGATATTTATATCTTTTTTTTTCTCTTTTTTCACTACCTGAGTTGCCCAGTACTTGTCCCAACAGCAACAAAGAATGCTTCATATGAAGGCATGCAAAAACAAATTCCAAAACTTCAGGCAGACCGTTCCAGAAAAGAAGTGAGTCCCTCTGTGCTCTTGTGGAAGTTTACAGTTGCACACCCTGTACTACTAAAAACTGCAGACAAAAGGAGTTTTCCTTATCCCAGATATGCTCTCTTACTTGTACTCTTTCAAGACAAATACTCTTTCTCTTTGTAGTTAAGATGTCTACTGGCATGCTTCTCCATCTTCTGGCGTAGTATCCCCATCACTGAAAAGAGCTCTCCTTACACTGTAAACTTTCCAAACAAAGGCTTTCTCCTTGACCTGTCTGTGGAGGAGATTTCACAGACTTCACAGGTAATAATAAGTGGAAATTCTTTGGTGTCATGTTAGTTATGAATTTCATACCTTTGCACTGAGGTATAACATAAAACACAGCATTCAGATTTCGTATTGTGCTTGTTAAATAAAATAATTCACAGTCAAAACACAATTTGCTTTCCTCGTGATTATACAGGTTTTTGGGGGGTAAAAATATGCCATCGGTACAAGCGTGCTGACACCATCAAATGTATTCTAAGAATTAAGACTAAATCAACAGAGCAAATTATTAATTACAATAATTAGTTTTTAATTGCTTTTTGTTACAAAATGATCAAATTTAGTTACAGGTGATATTTCTTTTCTCATTTTTATGCAGTATTCAAGGTGTCGTGTCAGGTTGCATCCATATCCACAGCATGTCTCCAAAGTAAACAGCCTGTAGCATATTAACCCTCCTGCTGTCTTGAAGATATCCTCCTTTAATAATTTAATATTTAATAATAATTTGGAATGACACCAACTTATCTTGCTCTTCGCTTTTTTTCTGTCATTCACTTTAAAGATGGGGAAGCGCTCTGTTATGCACACATGGTGATGAACTTTGTGATTTGTGCCCATAGTTAAATATTCATTTGACAAATTCATTATCATAATCATGATAATCATATCAGCTGTGTGGATTGGAGAGACTTGGGGGATAGTGTTTTGATGATTATGATGATGAACATAGAAGAACAAGTACAATATTCCACTTTATAAAATTAATTAGATTACGCTTTTTTTCACTATTGCAAAAGTCTTTTTCTCTGGTTTTAATGTGCACCAGTGTTTTAAAGGGTAATTCAAGACAGGCTCGTACTAAATGATTTGTGAGTTTGTCAAAACATTCTGTAATAGAGCTCAAGTGAACAGACCATGAAATACCTTTTATATGATAAATTTATGAGATAAGAAGCGGGATTAAAAATTCTGGCTGAAGCAGCCGGGATAGCGTTGGGGTCTGTTGTCAGCAAATTAAAAATATGTGAAGAACTTGCAAGTCTTCCCTATAATTAAATGATACTCCAGGGATGCGGAGGATTTACGGAATATAAAACAGAGCAGAACGCTTTTTCTGGATCCTAACTGGGGTGTTCAGAGACATGGGATGGATTCCTGGCTCAATAAGATTAAAATGTGAAATGATAAAGCCAGTGGAGTCATCTGCTTAATTTGACAGAACAAATAAATAAGTAAAAGATGGGGTAAATAGCACAGTTGTTGCTGATTTGTCAGCTGCACATCCATTATGTGACTCTCCCTTTCCACCACATCCCAAAGGTGCTCAGTTGGATTGAAATCTGGACACTCTGGAGGCTGTTTGTGCAAAATGAACGCATTGTCATATTAAGAATCTAGTCTGAGATGATATGAGCTTTGTGACGCTGCATGTTATCCTACAGAAAGAAGCAATCAGACGATTTGTACAAAAACAAAAGACATCATCAGCAATAATGCTCAGTTGGTGCCAAGTAGTCCAAAATACTCCAAAAACATATCCCCCACAGTGACTCTACCATCGGAATTTTGCAGCAGAAATCAAGACTCATTAGACCAGAGAATGTTTCGCCAGTCTTCTATTGTCCTATACTGGTGAGCGCGTGGGATTTGTAGCTCATTTCCTGTTCTTAGCTGATGGAAGTGGCACCTGATGTGGTGTTCTGCTGCTGTAGCTATATCCTCTTCTGCATACCTCGGTTGTAACAACAGATCATTTGAGTTACTGTTGTCTAATATTCAGACAAGATCCCTGTGCCAACAACAGTCACTCCATATGCAAAGTCACTTGTATCACCTTTCTTCACTGATGCTCAGTTTGAACATGGTGCATTGAGTTGCTGTCTGTCTTGGCTAAACAGATGCTTGCATTTGCAGTTGAGCAGTATCTCTAATAAAGTGTCCACTTGTTATATACTCAAAAAAAACTGACAACAAAAAAAAAGTTTGGGGCAACTGAGAAACTTTGAAAAAAAAAAAAAACTTTATTAATTTAACAAGCATACAAAACAACAAATCATTTTCTTCAAACTATCAATGCAGTTTCAGTGCAATTCCAAAATATACATTTTCAGCAGGGCATGTTAATCAAAGTTATTCACATCCAGACACAGCCATTTAAATAGTTCTTCTGATTATCATTTGACAATTGTCCTAGCCAGAGGAAGCTCACGAGTAATACCTTCTTGAGGTAAAACTGCACACATTCAGTCTTTAAATGTACAAAACAAAGCACTACACAATTAAATATTAAATACAGAAACAGAAACATAAGTACTACAGCACAAAACAAAACAAGCAGTTGTAAACAAATTTTGTAAACAAAAAAACCCCAAAGTAAGTATGTGGTGATAGATATTTGGTTTGTGGATATAATAAATACCTAGCTGATGCACTGTATGGTATCCACACAGACAGTATTTGGTGTGAAAGTGTGACAGACTGTCAGTTATAATTTTTAAAAGGTGATAGATGTGGAAAATACAGAAAAAGTTTCCTCGTTTATGGGTGTATTTCCACAACTAAAGGCTATAGCATAGACAAACAGAGGCCAGTTAAACATTTAAAAAAGCTGCTTCCTTTCTTCTCCTCTTCCTTCACCTAAAAAGTGGGACATTCAACATTTGCTTATTTTTTCCTTTTTTAAAATAATATTCACCGGCAACACAGGAAGTTGTCAATCATCCACAGAAACATTGTTACTTTAAGACAGGATCATAGTATTAGCAGGGCACAGCAGTGAAACAATAACAAGAGCTTAAGGATGGCACTGTGAAAAAGAGGCTTTGAGTTGAGTCTGTTGTGAATGGAGGATTTTGTAGCTTGCTGAGTAAATGGCCTGGTCACTCAGTGATGACAGGTTAATATACAGCAACAGCCCAGAGGTTACAGTTTAACAGAGGTTCATTTCAGTAAGGCTAAAATATTCAATTTTGGGAGCTTTGTAGCACTGGTTTAAGCATCATTTCAAACAGCTCACAAAAAAAAGTCAAAGGCTTTTCTATAAATCAGGCGCCACATGAAGTAATTATCTTTCTAGACTAGGAGGCAACCTGTAAGTTAAACACTGATATGTCCCATGATTCTTTGGAGTTCACTTTTTCCATCTCCTCAGTTGCTACAGGTATGCTGCTACATAAAAAGTGAACAGTTGTGCAACAGAAACAGAGCTAGGACACTCGCACCCATTTGAGCTCATGTTTTCACGATCTTGCTTCATGATCGGCATCCTTTTTTTAAATTGTCACAAATGTAAGCATTTGTTTATATTGAGCTATTTATTGTTTGAGCTCTGGGTGAATACTCCACTCAGCTGCTCCACAGGCTTGTGTGAAAGCACAACCCATTCATAGGTTAGTAAGTTAGTAAGGAACACTGCTACAGTCAGACTCGGCTGGGTGTTAAACACTTAAATGCTGCTATCACAAGTGCAGCAAACACTATGTCAGCATCTCAAAATCCACCAATGACAGAAGAGCAGATTGTAAGGTAACCTAAATTAAATATGCCCTAGACGCCCAAGGAACATAAATAGATACATCACTCTGTAATTGTGCTATTTCTTCAATATGAGGGATTCAAAAAGAACTCAAAGTTTCAGTTAGTGCCTTTTCATTAATTTGACAGCATCTGAGCATGTTAGCTTTGTGCCTGAATGGGCACCCCGATAACTTTTAAGCAAAAGTCATGACAGTAATTTTTCCGGGTAGAAAAAATTTGTGTCACATTCGACATGCCGTAAATCTGAATGCATGCCTCTGCTGCATCTGTGCGAGTTGAGTATCTCACGAGTTGATCCCAATAAGACAGAAAAGCTTTTTTCTTTACGCGTCAATAGCTGCTGCCAATAATTCGACATATCACTCAAAATATTACAAACACACGTTTGTCTCTTTGTCAGTCCCCTTAGTATATCTTAATAAAACCTCGAGGAACATGAACGTAAAAGTCACCCATGTCTGAAGAACAGAATGCTGTCACTTTAACATTTTAATGTCCCATATCTGAAAAGGCCTCCAGAGATTAAAAGATTACCGTTAATAGAAGTTTTACTTATTACAGCACATTCAACATAAAGATAAGTGCTATTAAAAAAAAGGATATAGGTAAATTTCAGACCTCCTACCCAGAAAAATCTGATGGTGTTAATGGTGTGAAAAAGCAAAGCATTCACTGGTATGTACCATTAATTAATCACACCACACCCAACTTTTCATAAGGCTGATCAAAACAATGAGCTCTGAAAAGCAGAACACACTAGATTATGGAGTCTAGCTGTCTGTTATTTTCAATTTAATTCAGCTGCATGTTTTTTTTTTGTTAAAATAATAGCACACAAATGTACAAAAATGAGAGAAAGACTGAAAAGAATGTGTGAATGTGCGTGTCTGTGCTTTTAACAGTGAAAAGTGATCAGGAAAGGCATGGTCACAGGTTAAAGGGTAATTAAAACACTCAATTACGAGCACCAAAAGCTTCCCCTGTACCGCTCTCTTTGGGTTTAAACCTTCCAGTATTTACAGCCACACCCCAAATCACTAATGTCAAGGCAGGTGTTCTCTGCCAGCTTATAGTGGGAAAACACCTGCTGTGACACCACTTTTTTTTCCAGGTAGGGTCATAAGTGAACAATGGTTTAATCTTTCAGCCCACACAGAGTAGTACAGCAGGATTGCTGGTCCCATGTAACTGGGTGTTCATTTACCCTTTTGGTTCCTCTTCTTTTGTCTCATCCCAGCATGGATTATACACGTTTTTTCTTTTTTTTAAATCTCCACCTCTCAAAAGCTGGCACTCCAGGTCTCTCACATTGTCCATATCCCACTCTACCTAATACACTCCTCCTCTGATGGGCTTTCTGATTCTTCATTCTCGCTGTCATCTAGCTCAGGAAGATCTCCCCAAAGGAGCAGATTAAGGCCTGCAGACACATGTGAAGGGGACTTATGAAGTCTTATGTACACATCTCATGGACTATGCAATTGCATAGCATTTCAGTTTTATCAAAGGTGAGTTTATACTGACCCGTTGAATCCAGTCTGTTGAGAGTAGAAACAGCATCGCTATTGAACATCCAGAAGTGGCCGTTGTTACAGGAGAGCAGGCAGGGTTTGCAGGGGGCTACAACGTGATAGCCCACAACATTTCCACTAAAAGAGGGAGGGAGCGAGGATAAAGAAGAAACGTGAGTCAGCTATTTGCTGGGGGCACTTCTGAAAAGTGCCAACACTACTAGTGAGTTTCCATTATCTAACACATGTTTGTGTTTGCCCTGCGTACAATAACAAAAGCCCATGAACACAAATGAAACTCTATAAAGGTTCACTGTTTACTGTACTGTGCTGTAAATATGATTTAAAATTAATATGTGCAGACATAACTGGCAATGGCTTTAATATTTATTTAACTGACATTTTTAAGTAAAAACAAGTATTTTCCGGTATCATTTGATCACTTGTGCTAAAGTGTATAAATTGTAATGTTGCTTTTCAAGCACTACCTAATGTTTAGTATAGCAACGGGCTCAAAAATAAAATAATCAGCATATAAACTTACAGTTGACAGGCCCAACAATTTGTACAGATATGTGTACATATGCAACTACCTGTTTGGTGTCCTTCTTATGAATATCAACAGATTATGTTTCCAAAGTAAACACTGCAAAGACGAAAAGGAATAAAATAATATATACCATTTGAGACATGCGATGTCTCTCAGTTTGCATTTACAGCTTTCAGTGGAGTAGCAGCTGGCCACAAAGTCAACAGTTCTGCGGGGAGGGTTCGTGCAAGGAGACACAAACACACCCATTAAAGGACAAAAAAACAACAACAACACACACACTTATTTTATATTGTCATACAACAAACCCTATTAATTACAACGGCAGCTTGGCCAGAGCATTGTGTATCTCCTCCAATCTGTTAAGCAGACAGCCATCACTTTGCCACAATTTTGCCACTTGCCTTGGAAACCGACATAAACAAAAACTAGCAGCACTACTAAGAAAATTAGCTCTTACCTATTGGGAGGTATGTCAGTGGAAAACAGCTCGACCTCGGTGTCTGCAAGAAGCACTGCCTTCATGCCTCTCGTGCAGAGCAGGCTGTCACAAAATATGCAGTTCACCTGGGTCACACACTTGTTTTTAAAATTAGCGTTTGAAGTAGACATTGTTGTTTTGCTAAATGCGGACTTCGCCCTTTTTTTCACGTTCTTTCTGCCTCCGGACAGCAAACGCAGAAAGGGAAAAAAGAACCAGACACTGAGAATTCTCACTAACCGTTCACTTCGGTTTAATAAAGCTGTAAATTAACTTTGCAAGCGTCAACGCTAGCTCCAATGTCCTTGTGCAAACGTTAGCCTTTCCTAACGATATAACGGAAGGCAGCTAACGTTAGCTTGTGAAACGAACATACGAAGGGATATATATATATATATATATATTCTCGCGAAACCCGCTCTATATGTATAAGACAAGCTGTACTGTTAATTAATCCACGATATCGATGAACAACTGGCCTGTTTTCACGGCTTACTGGGCATCCATTCATGTACTTAACAGCTAACTAAATAGCTGTCAGCTTTGTTTACAACTTCCTGGTATTTAACGGGACTTCCTTAAACTATCTTTAAAAGACCCTATACGCTATTTTGATTGGATGTACACTTTATAGTAACCAACGCTATTGGTCAAATTCATTACGGATTCTGAATGCGATTGGGTAAAAATTCAACTTGACGAACCCTGATTCAAAATTCTGAAAAAAGCTGATTGGTGGACTTGAATGTCGTTCACGTGTGACCGTTTGACCAATCGTGGTGGAGTGGTAGGTATGAGGCGGGGTCGTAGTTTAGTCAGTGTAAAAGAAAAAGAAAGTTGACGTAGTAATAGGCTGAAGATGGAATGCATTTTAATATATGTATACAGGTATTCTGTTCTTATAAAAGCTGAATTTATGAAGGAATGTATGTATGTATTCACAACTAGCGTGTTACCGTTTAAGGGTTAGAATTTATATGCATTTACGCTAATGTTCATAGCTAAATAAAGCACGAGGCTCTCTTCAGCCACATTTGCAGTGACCTGCTCCTAAATAGGTGTTCCTCTACCAACACATTTAAACTAAGCTCACCTAGGCAAATAAATACCCGTCGGTCCTGCAGCATGCAAGCTAAAGGCTTGCTGTAGCAGATGTAGTTGTATGTACTCGTGAATGTGTGCATCCATGCCTGTCCTGCGCACTGGGGGCTGACCAGCAGCCAGCCCCTCCATCTCTCCACTTGGTTTCCTCTTTCGCACTTCAGGAGGTGGGTGGTGGAAGAGAGGGTAGCACTTTAGTTTAGACAAGCACACGGGCAGCAGTGAGATCGAGATTCGCTCGGGGCAAGTAACAAAAGAAAAAACTTTCCAAAGTGCTGAGTAAGAAGTTAATCGGGGTTTTTTTTCGTAAAGGGAATGACTCTCCTTTCTCATGAAGCTGTTGGCACCATTACTCTTGAGGAGGCGGTGAGGCGCGGCGTCGGGAAGGAGCACAGCAGCAGCAGCGCCAAACTCACAATGCGCCCTGAGTGAGCAGAGGCAGGGAGACAATACTTATCCACGGGAACACTGAAGAGCTGTAAATATCTCATTTTGGCTGTTTTGTTTCTTTTTTCCTTTTTTGAAAAACCGGCTCCAGATTGACAATCCTTCCATCTACGGCTGATTTGTTGAATTATTAAGAGAAATTTGACTTTACTGCGAGGACAAGTGGTTGATCTCCAAACTCAGCCATGACGTCTCCAGCGAAATTCCGAAAGGACAAGGAGATCGTGGCCGAATATGAGACTCAAGTTAAAGGTAAAACTTTTCAGAGCCCCTCAGATGTTTTCATGCAGCACAACCCGGAGAGATTTAGCGTCAAATCTGTGCTTACTTTACTGCGTGCTGTGTTTGATCTGACTTGGCGTAATGCATCCCATTTTTTCTGTTACCCTCACCTCTCCTATCCTACCAGGCGTAAAGGACAGACTTGCCTTTGCATTTCACCAACCATTCGAGAAGGTTGTCATTGTGCAGACGTGGCGGATCACTTTTTGTGTGTATAAATAATGGCAATCATAAATGGTACATGATGATCAGCGTGCCCCCAAGCGTGTGATCGCTCTCCTTTAAGGCAACGCGCCGATGGCCAACAAAAGGCGAAAGGAAACGCTCACAAATTAGGTGTCGTCCAGATGTGGTCTCACCGCGGCCTCCTATCAAAGCATACGTTAAGGTGATGTGTGTATGTTTGCGTAGAGGACCCACAGGGCTGAGGTTTCGACACTGTACAAGGCAGGGCGTTTTCTTTCCCCTTCTGTGTCTCCTGCGTGCCTGTGCTGCTGCTGTGCACCGGCACCGCTCGCTCATGCGTTAAACGCAGACTGCGATTAAATGATCGATTTGTGCCCTGGCTTGTTCATCGATCGCAGTTCATCGGTGCAGCTTCTGCCGGTGATCAAGGACACGAGAGGGCTGGGAGAGTAGATTGTAGCTGTTAGGAAGGATCGTTTGAGTTGTTAACTAGTCGCTAGCTTATTGTTATTTTTGTTGATTTTTTCCCCTGTCATCAGGCAGTCACACTGGATCCAGCACCCACTGTCACTCAGAGTGACAGTGTGTGCTTATCAGATCTTGGGGGGTGAGGGGTTGTGTGGTATGTACTTGAGGCTGGAGAGGGAAGGAACAGGCTCAGAGGTACCAGGAAGGGGAGTGGGTGTTACAGCATGTTTGCACTGTTACTGCAGTGCCAGATGACTAGATAAGATGGGCCACTGCTTGGCTTATCCCCCAACACCACCACCACGACTGCTTGATTCTTATTTCCATTTCGAAGAGAAGACACCAGCCCACTTCACGCCCTCGCCTCTTTACTGGCACCTCTCAGCACTCCTCTTCTGCCGAAGAAATTCCCCATGGCATTCTTTGACAAAGCTTGATAGTCAGTAAGGAACAAAATACTTTTGAAGTGCTATCGGAGATCACAAGGTTGTTAAACTGGAATTACTGGTGTCAATGTACATATGAGTGGCAAACACAAGGAAGAGCGCTCGTCGAGTGTCTCAGTGAGGTGTGGAGCAACGGAAAGCAGACAAAACACACCTTTGATGTCCCCGTTGGCATAGATTTAACAAGTTTATGGAACCTCAGGTCATTGAAGCTAGTCATCCATAAGCTGTTGTTTATTTGAGCAGTTGAACTGAGGTTTATTTTAGACCTCTCAAACCTTTCCTTTCAATATTCTTTATTTTATTTTTCTGACACTAAATCTGCAACAAATCCTGGCAGAGGTTTGATTTGGCGATGCACTAAAACAGGTATTTCTGGCATCTGAACAAAACACCAGAGTAATTCAGGGTAACCTGGCTCACAGTTAACCATTTCTTCCTTCTTTGCTTCATTTGAAAACTTTGGCTGGCACCACAGTGGCATTAGCGCCGTTGTCTCTGTGTCCTTTTAGACTGCTGTTTATGCCCAGCGGCACGTGTAAAGACTTTCTGTCTGTGCTGTTTTGTGGGCACTGTCTGCTGGGTTTGTCAGACTGTGGACTTAATGTTTGCCCATCGACCCTCTGCATTGATTCCTCCTGTCACTTACCTCACTGCTCCCCATCCTATCTAGAAGGAACTGATTATAGGGTAAATCTGTGCATCCTCATATCTATTTGAGGGGTGTGTGTGTGTAGAGATGCATCGAGATGCTGTCTCTTCTGTGACATTCCCAACAGCATGCCTTCACTACAGCCTGTCATTATCCTGTGCGCTGCTGCTAAAGACTCTCTTGTAGAAAGCATCAGGCAGCTCTCACTCTTTTTCTCTCTGTGTTTGCTAACGCGTGTCTGTCTTGTTTCCCAAATCTTCGCTAGATCCGCTCTACAAATTTCAGTCCTGCTAGCCAAGAAGGGCTCATGCGTACCTGCATGACTCTGCTATTATCAGGCAGAAGGGATAGACTTTACATGTCGCAGCCATGCACTGCAGCATCATGGGGAAAATGGATTTAAATCCTCCCCAGATGACATTCATGAAGCACTGCAGCAAGAGAGGGAGAGGCATGAATGCTCACGCTCTCACTGATGAGTGTGCTTGACAGTGTTTGTCAAGCACACGGTGAATGGATTTCTGCTGATTATTCTGGCTTATTAGCTACTATAAATTTGTGTTTGTGGCCTGTGGTTTATTGTTTCTACAGACTGGTCACACTTCTGCAGTATTGTCATACATACATACACTGATCATCTGTGCCATCATACTGTGTTCTAGCACAGTTGTTACTTGGTGGAAATAGAGATGGTATCCACGTGTTATGTAGTTTTAGTATTCCATGCAACATTAGGCAGTATTGGGCAGAAAAAGATGAAAAATCATCAAAAGCTCTGGTGAGATTTTGAGATTATTTGTCCCCTTTATATGGCTCAGTGTTTTAAAGCTTAAAATACACGCAGTAACTGGTGACTGTTTGACTTTTACAGATGGAAAATACTTGTATTTGACATTATGATTTGTAATGCTCTGTATTCTTTTGATTACCAAAAAATGATGTTGTGACTCGATACCACAGGCACGGCGATGTCAGTGGACGTGGTCACCTCATCTGTTGACAGGGTACCTGGATAAGGTTTTAAATGCACACCGGCGCTCGAATGCTGTCATCTCTTTGTCTTTATTTCACACAGACAGAGTCCTGATATTCTAATATTGGATTCTGGCTGATGAAAGGAATTTTCCTACTTGGTTTGGAAGAGGGTGTGTGTGTGTGTATAAGTGCCTGAAGAGAGGCACACACACACACAGACAGATGTGCCGAGAAGTAAAAGACAGACAGAAAGAGAATCAGGAATGGAGAAAGAGGAAGAGAAAATACGACATATTTGCAGAGGGATAGAGAGGTTATGACTTCAGAGTATTGAGTTTTTTGGGAACCAAATAAAAAAAGCTGTGACTATTCACCAGCACTTTAAGTAGATCTTTCTATTGTAATTTAAAAAATCCACACGTGTTTGCAGGCAGGTAAACGAGGGTTAGGGTGAAAGCCTGTAAATGTGTGTCGACCAAACACTAGAGAGCAACTTCCTATATTCCAGTGGCAGCCTTTAATATCAGGAGCAAGAAATATTTTAGTGGAAAATTAAGGTGTGCCGAGTCTTTTAACAGATGTTTCATTTTTCAAATGCGTTTTGGCTCAGCCCTTAAGCAGCTGTCAGTGTTTTACACATCTGGGAATGTTAATAACTATCTGCCTTTGTTGCCACTGATCAATTTTGATTGGCCGTGGTGTTTTTGTGGTCTGCTGAAAAAAATACAAAAAGGGTATGAGTGGCCATTCAATTTGACGTTGAACTGAATAACTGTTGTTGAGTTTTAGAGTAAATACTGAGAGACCCATTTAAAGAAACAGTATCCTTACTTTACTTACTTTTCCTAGCAGGCTAATAAGCTCAGTCATCTCTGCAAGTGTGATGTGCGTCTGTCTATGTGTACATATAAACTGCGTGTTTACGGTTGCCAGAGAAACATATGATTTAGGATAAATGGCTGCTTTCACTAGCACACAATAGGAAAGGTGGTGTCACAGCAAGAGGTTTTGTCTGCATGACTGTGGCT